CCTGAGGGCTCTGGAACTGTGACGTCAGAGACGGTGTTCAAGTCCCTATTTACCTAAATAGTGTCCTGCTGTAAAGAACTGGGCTTTTGTTCCAACCTATCTGGGAGGTTCAAGATCTTTTAAGAGTAAATTTGGGTTATCAAGGACAATTACTACATATATTGGTAAACTATATTCCAAGGAACATTCCTTGTGATCTTAAAAGTTAATCCAAGAAAAACAGTGCACCAGGGCAAATAACTGTGGAAAAACCTCACACTTTCTTCCTTTCTTTGAGACTCACAGTCCAGATACAGCACATGGAGTTTCCTGAGAAGTCTCGACTCAAAGAAATGCTTACTTTCATTTAAACCAGCATTTCCCCAAATAGTCTGCCAGTGAATATATTTTTTAGGGAATATTTTATAATATCAGAGAAATTTTATATACTTTAGAACACAGTTGGGGATTTTTCTGAATGTAGTTGAGAGGGGAACTGTAACAAGAAAAAGCCACAAAGGCAAACTCAGATGTGGGAAGTGCTCGTGGGACCGGCCTTCCCTGGTCCGTCATAAGAAAGTAAACTGCTCTCACTCTGGGGCCTGCCAGACTTGGAGCAACTGCTAAGGAAAAGTGCTAAGAAAGGTTAGATAGTTAAACTGTCCTCTTTACTGAGTGACTGCAACATGATAGGGGATATAGGCAGCCACTGAGGCCCGTGTGAAACAGACAGGTAACAGGCACAGGGAAATATTAATAAAGACAATATTAAAATGGGGGGAATCTTACATTGTCATTTCTCTTCTTTGTTATTATTTTGAATGACAAGAAATGGCTTTTGTTCTAGGTCAAAAATGGTCAAATACTGGCAATGTAATATCCCTCGACGTAATAGATTCTAATATAATTTTTATTATTATCATTGCTTCAGAGCAGAGAACACTCAGAATCCAACAGTGTCTGTTCATAATTAGTGAGCACTGGCCCAGGTCCATCGAGCTTGAGATCCGACTAAAATTCTAAGCTTTTCCTGCTACATCATATATTTTCATAATTTGTTTGCTTTTTGTTTTCGCCACAAATGTTTATTTGGGGAACTGATTTTTTTGCCGTAAGTTTTGTATTTTAAACAAAAATATAGCTTGCATATTTTCTTTGAGGTTAACTAATTTTTTTACACACTAGGACTTTGAAAATGTGTCAGTTTACATTCTTATATTCAGATCAAACACTCATGTTTTCCTTGCTCTGAATGCATTTATAAAAGTCTACTTGCAATATTTTCTAATTTAGCTTTTGAATTACTGTATTAAAGTAAAAAATATTTCTGTACTGTCAAGTATATTGTTTTAACTTGAGCAGCATTAAGACAAATATTTGTGTGTTGGGGGAAAACCTAAGAGCAATATGTCAGAATGCACAAAAGTCTTAAGTTGTTCTATTTTTTCTAATAGTCTAGGTACAAAAGTTGTATTTGGAGAGAGATTTAACTGCTTCGACTCCAAGTATATTATTTAGATAAAACCGAAAAGCCTGGCGCTTTTCTTGGGCCAGTTGAGTCACTCGCCCGTCCCTGTGACTAATCCCCACGGAGAACATTCTTCAGGGTTTAATCCTTAATCTCTCGGCAGCAAAACCGTAGCCTGGCGGAGGGAACGGGGGCAGGGAGGCTGGTCTGCAGAGCTCTCGGGGTCAGGCCCACGTGGGGCAGGTGCCTCACCTCTGAGGATCCCGTCCCCTCCATCGCCGTGGCAGAGAAACGACAGGATCAGCTACACACGGTCCAGGCATCTCAGAGTCAGTAGCCGGGTCTGTCAACAGCCCTGAAGAGGGAAGGAGGAGAGACCATGCAGCTGCTGATAAAGCTCATGTCTGAGCCAGCATTTCAAACCTTCTTCATCGTCTTCAAAACTTCCACATTCACCTTTATCCTGAGTTTCATCATGAGTTAAGAGACGAATTCATCACCTGCCAGTCAGGTAGAAACCCCGAAGGAAAGACGTCATCCCGCTTTGGTGCAGCCCCTGGCGCCGAGGCTTTGCTAGGTCTTCACCCGCCTGTGCCGGACCTACTGCTTCATTCCCCTCAGCTCCACCTGACCTTTGACATCGCAAACCAATAACCTTCAACACCTGAGAAAGCAGCTTTGGGTGAAACCCACACTTTCCCCCAAATCATCCACAACACACTTTACAGACGTGAAACCAGCTTTTGTGATCAGAACTTGAAAACAGACAAGTTCCCCAAGGTCTCCCCGGCTCTGTGACAGAGCTTCCTGCTCAAGGGTCGGGGGGGCCGCGTGAGTGAAGCCTGGGGTCAGGGCCCTGGGGAGGGCCTGTCCCTCCCGCAGGGGGCAGGGCGTCTTGGCTCCAGCTGACCGGCCTTAAGCAGAAATGCAAACCCAATTTTGCCTGATCCTGAAGTTTTCCAAAAGAAGTTGGAAGTGTTTGTTTCTCTCTGAAAGCTCCATGATGGTGATGACCCGACAACGTGTTCCAGGCGAGAGCCTACGCGCCGGCTCCAGCCTGGGCTCTCCACACTGCCTGGGCCCGGGCATAGATTTCGCTTCCCTCTCATTTCATTACTATGCACTGAAACTAGAACACCGTTAAATGTCGGCTTTTATCTCAGCCTGCGCACTTCCAGGGTCTGGGAAGACTGGTAAACATTCCTGAGGACCGAAGCTGTTCGTGAAGCACAGCTGTTACTCTGGCCCTGCTGTTCTGGACTCCAGGCTCCCTTGGTTTGGAAGAGCAGAATTTATTGGGGAATTTATACCCTCCTCCCCCCACTTCAAAGGCTTTTCAGCACTGCTGGGTTTATGTGTCTGTCCTCAGTACCAGGAGAAGGCTGCTGTGAGGGGGTGACAGGACCTGTCCTTCCACGCTCTCGCCCACTCCTGCGGTGTTACCCCAAACCTGGTTTTCCCCATGTCTTGCTCTCCCAAGACACAGATATGTATATTCAACTGTTCTCTCTCCTCACGCAGGTCTGATTCAACATGTCCTAAACTCACAGTATTTCCCTGAATATCAGGCTCTTCCTTCTGTATTCCTAATTTATTTCTGTTCCTGGCCCCACAAAACAGGACCACTCCAGACCCCCCCAGCCAGTCACCCCCAAGCCCCACCCTCTTCCTCAGGCTTCAAACAGGCGCAAACGCTCTCAAAGTCCCTTTCTGAGTCCCTCCCTCATCTACTGCCATTCTTTCATTCCCTCAGTGTCCGGCTGCCTCACGCCAGCCCTGGTACCAGCTCTAGGGACACTGGCATGAACCAGACGGGCAAAGGAGACTCTGTGAGTCTAACTCTCCACGCTCGTCAGCAAGTCCCTTCTCTCCTGGAGCAAAGCACTGCCGCCCTTCACCTTCTTTCCCACTCCTCTTGCCCCCAGAATGAATTCTGCAAAACTGAAATAGATGCTCACTTTCTTCCTGAAGACCTCTCAGCGGCTGCACATAACCTGCAGTGCAGCCCACATGCCTTGGGCGGACATAGGGAAGGCATGACATCTGCTTCTTCCAGCCCTTACCTGCCGGAGCTACACGCCCACTTGTCCTGTGAACTCTCTCACCCGCGGGCATCGTGCATGTAATTCCCACTGCTTTTAACTCCCTTCCCTGCCTCATACTTCTACTTAACCCCACTCATCTTTCAAAACTCAATAAAAAAGAATTTCCTTCTCTGGAATCTATTCTCTGAGTCCACCCCATGCCTGGGGCTCTTTCCTCATGATTCCTGGTGTCAGGTTGGTTCCCAGAACACCCAGTGCATACCTTTATCATAACATCATAGCATTTATCAGACTAGTAAGTAAATACACTGTCTCCTCCACTCAACTGGGACTTCCTTGCGGCCAGGGAGAGGCTCGGGCTTACTCCAGGCCTCAGTGCTGGCCAACCCAGCACACAGTAGACCCTCAATACACACAAGGATAGGTAAGTGCATGTTTTGAAACTATGAAGTAATCTGCAGTCTTACACAGTGCAACTCAAAATGAAAGAGCATTTTTTACCATTTGCAAACTCTTATTTTTTATTCTCTGCTCATAAGAATAGTCTACTTTTGCACATCCAGGGAGTAGTATAATTATCTCTTTTTTCTCAGCTATTACTCTAAGCCATTTAACAAAGACTGGCGCTGTACACACAGCCAGAGAATGCCAGCCAGCAATCTAGGACCTGCGGGATATCCAATACAAATTCTCCAGATGTGGTTTTTATTAAGAAAATATATCAGGTGCAGTTTATAATAATTTTAGAGACACGTAGAATTGCAGCAACCATCTCTGCACCACACTGTACAGGATCCCAAGACGCCTAAGGCACCAGAGTGCTGCCTTTCTCAGCACAGGACCTTCCTCCCAGTAGGGTTGCCATCCAACAAAAAGCATCGGCATTTCACACAGGTCACCAAGTTCAGATACTAGGATGAGCAGCTTTCTGGCCTGTCCAAGAGCAGATTCCACTGAAAGAGGAAAATCTCGGATTTGCCTCTTGGATAATTTGATAGTTTGAAACCAGAGCTTGGTTCCCATACCATCCTCAGCCACTGCGCACCAGAAGGAAAACAAAACAACTCTGTGCGAAGTCCTTCCCCTACTGGGACGGGTGCTGGTCCTGCCGGCGGCAGGGGAGGTGTCCAGGCAGGTCTGAGCTGAGTAATACCTTGCTCTACGAGCATGTACAGCAGTGTTTTGCCCATATTAAGATAAACTTCCTGCACCTACTGACACTTAATAACAGAGGTCTGTTTATATGGTCACACAGCTCTCAGCTCCATGCTGGGTGAGTTTGGAGGACAGCCTCCGAGAGAAGCTGGTTTTGGGTTTAGTTGGAAGCCTGCTCCTGTTGTAACAGAGCAGGGTCTTCATTACACCCTCATCGAGCAACATCGGCCCTGACCTCCCAGAAACTATTGAAGATCTAACTCTCTAGGATGCGAGTCCAGACCAAAGGCGGCTGTGCCCAGTGATGCGCCACGACAGACCGACAGACGGACAGACCACTGTACAAGGAAGTGTTGCTGATTTTCCATTTGCTTTATTGCCAACAGTTTAAAATGGTCAACATAAAAAAAAAGAACATTTGATAATAAATACTGCTCTTTGGGCTGTAATAAATAAAAAGTTTATTAACAAGGAATGCACTTTTCCAGCCACAAGTGTCTTCAAAAATTAACCAAAAAAATCACATATGGCCATAGTTCACAGTTGGGCAGCCACACGCTGCCGATTACAGCCGCTCATGATGCCGGAGCTTCCTCCCGGCTCCTCCCCTGCAGGAAGTAGGTTCACAGTTCCAAGTCCTCTGTCTGAAATGCTCTCAACAGAGAGAAGTCAAGAGTCAATGCACCTTTCTGTGAAATTGTCCAAAAAAAACCTTTTAAAACAGGTACGCCAAGGAAAACTGCACTCTGGCTCCCTCTCCGACTGTCCAGGTCAAGAACAGCATCCTCAGCCAGTCCAGCCGGCCGGAGGAACGGTCTTCGTGCCACCACATCCGTCTCTTCAACGTGCCGGAGACCACTCTCCTGCGTCTTGCCCATCTCAGTGAAGAGGAGCCCCTGGGCCCCCAGAGCCCGCTAGTTACACCTCTGCAGGAGCATGTTCAGGGCGTACTCCATCCGATGCTTCAGCTCCAGCGAGCAGCCCGACATCAGCAGGGTGGTCAGTCTGAACGTGGTGGATATCCGGTCCTCGTTGATGTACGTGAGGAGGTATTCTTCATTCTGGCTGCAGATGATTATTTTCGTGTGGTCGTGGTAGAAGTTCACCTTTAAAAAGTAAACAAAGATATCAGATCTCTTTAAATATTAAGAATGAGAAAAGTTGAGTCATGGACTAAATTGGTGAGGTACAAATAATTTTAGGACCGAAACATGCACTTAAAAAGGGTGTTTACCTGGAAGGTGCCGTCATTGAAGAGCATCATTAAGGCCTTATCAGATTTTAGCCACTGAAGGAGGTAGAGCCGAGGTCTTCGAATATCAGTAACACTAGGAAGATCTCCACCCTGGAAGAGATTGGCAGAGTTGGCGCCTACAGAGACTGTGCAATGTGCACTCAATTCCTCTCAGAGCAAATGCCTCTCAAAATGAAGCAAACATTGCATGGCCTGGAGATCCCTGGCCCCACCTCCAAAGCTTCTGATTCAGCAGACGGAGGGCAGGACATGCAACCTGCCCTCTAACAAGCTCCCAGGCCATGCAGATGCTCCTGGCCTGGGACTACACTTGGAAGATCTCTGCTCCAGAGCCCCAGTACTCACATCCATGAGGTTCTCCTCCATGTAATGGGAGAAGTACTTCAGCACCGTCACTTGACTAATGAACTGTTCGGGGGCATCTGTTGCTGTGAAGACAGAGCACTGGCCAAGCTCCGCATAGTAGTGGACGGTCCTAACAGACAGGAGCAAGAAGGAAAGAAAAGAACGGAAGCAGTTAAGTCACTGTTTCCAGGTGTCTTTAGAGCAGGACTAAAGCACTGGCAGGATGTCATTAACTGGAGACACTCACTTTTTGTCTGGAAGGAGGCTCATGTGGGCACCGTTGTTGAAGAGGACACCCACAGTGTGGTCTGAGAGCTGGTACCCAAAGCCGTATTTGTTCGAGTAATCGACCCACTTGGTGACCCACTGAAAGGAAGTGCTCAGCTGCTCTTTGGGAATGCAGTCGGCTTCCGGCATGTTCTCTAGACACCCTCGGAGGACTCTTGCCACTGTGTCAGCAACACTCCCCATGGTGCTGTCTTCAAGGCCTGAAAAATTAGAGAAAGTTGTGGAATAATTAACAAAACACCGTAGCTTTTATAGATGCCAAGTTTTCCTGCACTAACTCTCCTAAGCACAGGGAACTCAAAATCCTTCCTAGACTTCTTCCGATTCCTCTGATTTTGCTCCTTCTGTCACATTAGTTACCTGAATGCAGAAGTACTTGTTACCTAGTGCTGAGAGCTGGCGGTGACAGCTCCACTCTCTGAAACACTGTGACAAGCACTTACACTCACTGCTGCTGCTGCAGCTGCCAAGCGTCCCTCTGACGATCATCCGGATCACGTCTCCAGCCTGCTGCCTGTTCTCCACCACGGCCGTTCCAGATCCGGCCACCGTGGCGGGCGGGGGCGGGAGCTCCTGGACAGAGGAGAATCAGGCAACGAGTCAAGCATCTAAAATCCATTTAAGCCTGAGAAGTCTAGATTAAGAGGAGGCTGTGGCCATTGCTGGGAAAGCTTATCAACAGCACTGGACACCAGCCAGGTAAAAACTATTGTGTTAACTTGATTGCATGTATTGTTCAACTAAAAGACAGAAATCTTTTCTTTCAAAGGGTTGGAAGAAAATTAAGCAAATGTGACATGCTTGAACTGTGATAGTCACAGAGCAAGGGACAGTTAACAGAGAATGAAATGACACAAAGTGCTGGCATCTACGGCGGTCCTTCCAGCATACCTCATCCGTCCTGTGCTTGCTGGGCTGCTGCGTTATTGTAGTCTTCTTCAAATCGTGCCTGAGCTTGTAAATGTCTTCATCTTCTTTAGACACTCTATCTGCAAACCCAGGAAAAGGATTACAAGCTTTATTCCATCCTGATCAGGTAGGCACAGAGTAGCACAGTTCCTCACTTTGCATTAATAACTAGCCGGGAGCTTCCAAGGCAAAACCAGCATTTTTATCATTGCCAGTAGCTGCAATTATGCAAGCAGCACACCTTAATGCATATGCCACAGAACGCTACCAATCCCATTTGTAGTGTGAACTTACTACACTATGAAAAGTCCACAGCACACAAACATTCTGACTCTACTACACGCACGCAAAAGCCTTTTTAAACTAAAACCTATCATATTTAAGTGTAATACAAGATACAGAACAGTGAGAGGTCTTAAAACTTACTGTGTGTGTCAATGTATCTTGCTTTGTCTTTTTTGCCACCAAAAAGAGCAGCAGCAGCTTTCTTAAAGAAACTCTTCGCTGGGCTCGACAGGTGGAAGTCTGGAACCGTGTGGCAGCAGCTGGAAGAAAGCCTGTCTGGGGTGAAGCCCTGGGGAGCACGAGAGAGACTGTCAGTAACCTGCCGGCTCACCAGGACCAACAGCATGCAATCCGAAGGCTGAAGAAACACACCAACCTGCAAAAAAAACTCGTGTCGAATGATGTCATCCAAGCTGGGCCGGTCCTCCGGGTTTTTGGACAACATGCTCGCGATCAAGTGCTTGGCAGGGGCCAGCAGAGACGAGGGCATGGTATACCTCGCTTCTCTTATGCACCTGTACGTTTCTTTCAGATTCGTAGTTTCAAACGGGGGTCTTCCCAGTAACATTGTATACCTGCGTGGAGAAGGCACTTCTTTGGGAATGCTCATAAAGCAGCTCTTTCCAGCCATTAACATCAAAATCCCAGTCCGCGTTTTCACCATTTTGGTGCAGTTACTTACATTACACAGCCCAACGCCCAAATGTCGGATTCACAGCCGTGTCCTTGTTTGTTGAGGACTTCGGGGGAGAGATAATTCGGTGTACCACATATTGTTCTGCAAAGAAAAACGGAAGAGCTCATTAGGAACTGCTCTATTGTTTGAACTTCGCTCCCTGCATAAAACCTTGAAAGCACTGTGTTGAATTTCCACTTGGAAACATTTGACTTTTGGTTTTGGCACTTAACAACTGGCACCTGACCAAGTGATTCTTGGTAACTTTTTAAATGCATGTAGAGTTTCCTCAGTCTCTGTGGCAAAGTGTTTTAACCAACTGAGACCAGGCATTTTATACACATCAGGCAACTGTAAGTCAGGTTTCTTTCACAATCAACATATAGACATAAGGCGCTCCAGCCTGGCCCGGCCCAGGGAGCACTTAGTGTTTCCTCCACATCCTTGTGCTTTATAGATTTAGCATCCACTGATCTCCTCTGAAACATTAACTGGAAAGTAAGGAGGGCCTATTCGGTCTGCACAACACCCCAGGAGGATGTGTCTTTCTGTCTCTTACCTCCTCCTGTGTTCCAAGGGCTCCAGCCTGGCTGCCAAACCGAAGTCCCCGACTTTCAGCTCCATGGCCTCGTTAATAAAAAAGTTCCCTGGATGACAAACGACAAAAGCCTGAATCCCTTGGAAAGGCCTCCCGGGCAAGGGCACAAGCGCACACACGTCGCCCCGGAGGCAAGCGGCCCGAGCGGAACCTTAAAGCCCGGAGCGCAGCGAGGCTGCCGGGCGGCGGGGAGCGCGGGGCAGAGCGCGGGGCAGAGCGCGGGGCAGAGCGCGGGGCAGAGCGCGGG